AAAGAAGAAGCGATGATGGCTATAAAAAATTACAATATCCGTAATTCTGTTCATTCCAGAGTCAACCGATCGACGACCGAAAAATATGTATGCTACTGTGCCCGACGCGAAAACGGATGCAATTAGATGGTTCGCGTATCGAAAATGAAGAGGAAATATAACATATGGAAACTAACAATATACAACGGTCCTCACACATGTTGTGCTGGAGGGGTCAACCAAGATCATCCCAACTTGGACTCTGAAATGATATGCCAAGCAATCATGCCTATGGTAAAAGCAAGCTCTCATATAGCTGTTACAGTGTTGATTTCAGCTATACAATCGCAGTATGGGTACACTGTCTCCTATAAAAAAGCTTGGTTGGCAAAACAAAATGCCATTGTCAAACTTCATGGTGAATGGGATGTATCTTACAACGAACTTCCAGGTTGGTTTAGGCTGGTGCGGACGTTGAATCCTGGGATAATTGTGGACTTCGAAACCTCTTATGCATACCATAATGATCGAGTTCTTCGAGATCGAAGCCAATTCTACCGGGTTTTTTGGAGTTACCCACAGTGCGTTAATGCTGCCAAATACTGCAAGCCTATGGTCCAGATCGACGAGACTTTCTTGTATGGAAAATACAAGCAAGTTTTATTATTGGCAGTTATCCAAGATGGCAATCGCAACATTCTTCCAGTTGGTTTTTCTCTTTTCGAAGGAGAAGATACAGATTCTTGGGCTTTTTTCCTCCGAAATTTACGTGCACATGTTATCACAAGGGAAAACATTTGTGTCATTTCAGATCGCGGAGCTGGGATCAAACCAGCAATAGAGTCTTTGAGTCCAATGTGGCAACCACCCTTTGTCCAACATATGTATTGTCTCCGACACATTGTTGCGAACTATCATGGAAGGTACAAGAAGAATGATGAGCGTCAATTAATTGTGCGCATGAGTAAGTGAAAGCAAGTTAGTAAGCTATACATTTTTTGATCATTTTAATTTTGTAAAGAAAGCAAGTTAGTAAGTTATACATTTTTTGATCAGGTTAAGAACTACTTCCTCAAACGTTTGAATCAATGCTTCAAGATTTGCGGGCGAAGAACGAGGAAGGATACGATTACATCAGCCTCATCGATAAAGAAATATGGATGAACGCATATGATGGTGGATATCGATATGGACACATGACGACCAACTTGGCTGAGGCAATCAATTCAACCTTAAAGGGTGCACGTCACTTACCTGTAGCGGCTTTGGTAAAAACTATATATTTTTGTTTGGGGGCACTTTTTACGAAGCTCGGGGGACAAGCTCAAACCTGGATGCAAGGCGGTCATGTCTATCACCCTAGATTAGTTGCAGATCTACAGGAAAAAATTGATGCATCAAATGGAATGTTTGTAACAAGCTTCTCTAGAAGGCATGAAATGTTTCGTGTCACAGAGTTGCCGCGACCTCTTCAAGGGATTGAAGTTGTGTCGTTAAGAGTAAATCTAAGGGACAAAACGTGCGACTGCGAGTTTTTTCAAGCTCTGAAGTATCCATGCTCTCATGTGATAGCAGCTTGCTCACATACACGTCAAGACTATAACCATTTTGTAGATCCCGTATACCTACTATCTGAAGTTTTTAAGGTATATGAATTTGAGTTTCCCCCCATAGGTAATGACAAAGACCCTGATGAGGTTCAAGATTGGATTCTGATTGTACCAAACCCGAGTTTATTGAGGGAGCGTGGTCGTCCAAAATCCAATCGAATTCATTGCGATATGGATATTCGAGAAAGATCTAGACAAGACAGAAGATGTGGCCATTGTAGAAACCCAGAACACACTAGAAAAACATGTCCACTTATGTTGTCATCAAGTAACAATTGATGAGGAAATGATGTATTTGTTTATCAAATAATAATTCTTATATTTTAATTTGCATTTACTTCAAGTTAATGTCATTCAATAATCGCTGACGAAGATTAAAAAAATGAACACAATCATTAAATTTTATCAAACTAATAACAATTTGGTATTTAAATACAACAAACTTACAATAAGAATTAAATGGTAAATGATAATCAAATTACAATAACTGATATTAAATGGTAATAAACAAAATTAACTGAAATATATTAAAAAAAAGTCCAACAAATTTAACAAAATAAAGTAAGTATTAAATGAGAAATAATAAAAAATTACAATTAAACAAAATAAAGTAAATACAAATATAATAAAAAAAATCTATTGATGCATGCGTCGCGAATATGTTCCGCAGGTCGGTCTCGAGGAGGATTTCTTCGTATCACTAGTTCTGACTCCTCGCTGTCATCGTCGTCGTCGTCCGGAGCAGGTACATTAGGTTGATGAGGAGCTGATGACGATGAAGCACCTCCATAGAATAAGGACTCTGGAGGTGTATGACTGACTATCCCATTGGCCTGCGAAAACTGGGAAAACCCAAACATCGCTGAGTGTGAAAACTGTACAGGAGGTGTCTGTGCTACGACCATGGGTGATGAGGCTGAACACGCTAAATATCTAGCATATGAACCCCAAGTTGAATCTACAAACATAGACCCATAATAGCCTCCAGGAGGGGTCATCTGTGAAGGTGGCGGCGGCGGGGTCATAAAACCATGTGAAGGCGGCGGCGGTGACATCTGGTAATGGAAAGGCGATGGCGGCATCATATATAGCTGTGGCATCATAAATGGCTGCGGTGGCTGCTGTGAAGGTCCTGTTGGTGCAGTTGAGGATGAACCGGAAGCACCTGCTCTTCGTCCACGAGTCGGGGGACGATGGTGCTGTGTCGGTGAACGTTTCTGTCGACGTCGTGGAAAGGTCTGCCCTCGTGCATCCTCGGGAAGTAGAAACAGTTTCCCGTTACTGTTGAACCACTCATAATAATCCTCAGCATACATCAAGAAGTCAGTAAAAATGGGCTCTCTACGTCGAAGGCGCCGATATCGATCCTCCCACAACACGACCCACTCATGATGACTCACCAGTCAATCTGTATCTGTCTTGCCGCGTCTATCTAAGCTATACAACTCGTCCATATTGCGAGGTGCTTCCGAAATTGGTTGAAACAACCAAACTGCCGGAGCACGCGATCAGTGGAGTGCCACTCGACGGTCGCATAACATATCAGAGGAACCATCACCATCCAAACATCTGATGGACCCCTCAACTCAGGTTGGATCACCGCCCTCACATCATCAGTAGAATATGGCACCCATTCAAACTAAAACAAATAATATATAATTTTTATCAAAATAATAATCTAATTATATAACTATAATCTAAAATCGATTTTTAAACATTAAAATTCATACATGTGTGCTAGCCTTCTGATATATTAACACCCTAATTTTTTCTAAATCATCAGTTAGCTCCTGATGATTTTTCCTATCAGTAGACCACCTATTCAAGGAAAAAAATTTATTATATGCTGTATAAAATTATTAATATACAAAATCAGTTTTATAATTACCTCAGAAGTAGTGGAAATACGAATGTGTTCTTCACAACGGGACATAAAAAGGGCAATCGATACCATGCCCAAGATTGCAGTAGTAAAAGACATCCGCCGATAGCATTACGCCTGTAGTCAATAGATCCACACATCTCCCTGTACAACAAAGCCAAAACTGTCGAGCCCCAACTGAATGATCCGGCGAGACGAAAGTCGCTAAGATGTCGCAACCACATGTAGTGAACTAGGTTGTGCGATTTTTCCGGCATCAGCAACCCTCCTATCAACTGCAATATGCATGCCCGTGCATACATCTTAACCTCATCCTCAGAGGCGTCTGCGCTCAATTCCCTAAAATTGGCATCTAACCAATTTAACGGTATCCTACCTCCGATAAAACTTTTCGGGACACGTCCTAGATTATCCCGACACAAAGTAGTCCAAGAACCGAAAGCTATCCCTGATATCACATCTCCATCCACCGAAAGCCCCAGGTGCATAGAAACATTCTCAAGCGTGATCGTGCACTCTCCGCACGGAAGATGGAATGTGTGGGTCTCCGGCCTCCACCGCTCTACTAAGGCAGAAATAAGGTCTGGTTCTTTCTTACAGTGACCCTGGTATCTACCTATGTAACCAAATCTAACCTCTACTAAATACGGCAAGACACGGCCAGGTATCACTAACTTAAGATTCCTAATAAAAGGATCTAATACACGGTCCTTCTCCTAAAAATAAATAATTACAAAAATTAACTTTTTAATCTAATAATCATGCATTAAATAAATCAACTAATTATTACTAATAATTTAAATTAAATTAAAACGTTAAAATATTATCGTATCAGCAAAGTGTCGAGATATATAATTTCCATCCAAGCGAAGTAGATTGTCTTCCATTATATATCTGCAAAAGAATTATATTAGTAAAATATTAAATAAAGTAAAATATTTAAATAAATTAAATACATAATATTAAAAATATTATAAAATATACCTTAAACATAGAGAATATTTGAGAGAATTTAGTGTGATGAAAGTGATTGAGGATTGGATATTTATAGGAAGGATTGGGATGTGGATGGATGGGTAATTAAAGGTATAGCGCGCTCTCTGTACCGCGCTATATCCCACGTGTCAGATAATCAGGTATAGCGCAGCTTCTGATCCGCGCTATACTCCTACGTGGCGCCAAATCAACATATAGCGCGGGACAGAGGACGCGCTTTACTGCTACGAGTATTAGATCAAAAAATATAATTTAACCGATATTAAATCAATAAATATACTAATCACCGGTGATTTTTCGAGAAAAACGTCGGAGAGTAAAAGGATGGTGGTGGCTAAACATAGAACATTGGCGGCACTACTGGGTGGTCAACCAATGACTGGAACCCCGAGTACCACGTATACCCATCTCCTACAGTCCGAAGTTGCTTGGTTAAACTTATCGATAATTTCGTGGCCTCCAACTCCAACCCTACCATATATACAATATCTATGGGTCCATGGCCGTTTATCTCCTTATTTAAACCCATCCCTCGCCACCTTCATCACCATCCCTTTTCCATTCAATATCTCTCGCTTTCACTCTTCCGTCTTCCTTTCATTCCCATTTCTGTTTGTGCCATGGCAGGAACTGGAGTGGTTGCTGTTTATGGAAACGGGCAAATGACAGAGACCCACAAATCCCCTTTCTCCGTTAAGGTCGGGCTGGCGCAAATGCTCCGTGGCGGGGTCATTATGGACGTCGTCAATGCCGAACAAGCTCGTATTGCTGAAGAAGCCGGAGCCTGCGCCGTCATGGCTCTCGAACGTGTCCCCGCCGATATCCGTGCCCAAGGCGGCGTGGCGCGGATGAGTGACCCACAACTCATCAAGGAAATAAAGCAGGCTGTTACTATCCCTGTCATGGCCAAGGCTCGTATTGGTCATTTCGTTGAGGCCCAGATCCTTGAAGCCATCGGGATTGATTATGTCGACGAGAGCGAGGTTCTCACCCTGGCTGATGAAGAGAACCACATTAACAAACATAATTTCCGGATTCCTTTCGTTTGTGGGTGCCGGAATTTGGGGGAAGCGCTCCGGAGAATCCGAGAAGGAGCCGCCATGATTCGAACCAAAGGAGAAGCCGGGACCGGGAATATTATCGAAGCTGTTAGGCACGTTAGATCCGTGATGGGGGATATTAGAGCTCTTAGGAGCATGGATGACGATGAGGTTTTCACCTTCGCTAAGAAAATCCAGTCTCCCTACGACTTGGTTATGCAGACAAAACAGCTTGGGAGGTTGCCGGTGGTGCAGTTCGCAGCCGGTGGAGTGGCGACGCCAGCCGATGCAGCGTTGATGATGCAGCTGGGCTGTGATGGAGTGTTTGTAGGCTCCGGGGTTTTCAAGAGCGGTGACCCGGCTAAACGCGCCCGGGCCATTGTTCAGGCCGTCACTCATTACAGTGACCCGAACGTGCTTGCTGATGTTAGCTGTGGGCTCGGTGAGGCTATGGTCGGTCTTAATTTGACTGATAAGAAGGTCGAGCGGTTCGCAGCTCGATCCGATTAGTTATCAAAGGTGAGAAACTTCACTATAATTATATTTCTGTTTATTTTAGTATTCAAGCATGAAACCTTGAAAATATATCTATTTTATTTGATGTTTACCGTAGCTTGGAATGATTCTCCATGAAATATTAACAGGTTGGAAATGAGTTATTGAGAGTTAATGGGATCCCCTGTTTTTGTTTTCGAGTACTGTTTAAGCATTCATGGATTCATATGGATTCGATTGATTGAATACTCATTAACATCTCGACGAACACTAAGGTTCACATCTAACCAGTAATATCATTTATTGTATGACATTAAAGTTCGAGTCTTGTTTAATGGATGATCTGTAAGTATCACTTTCAATTCCGAAACTGGTGTTGATTATGTTAGTGTAGTTCTATTTACATTGGAACAATGTTTTGAGCATTCAATTCACTGCGGAGAGGTTTAATGATGGGTTTTTGCAGGAATCCTTTGGTCGATCAACCATCATATCAAGTGCTATTGTTCCAGTTTATCATAGTTTAAGTGTAGTCTCTCATACAGGGGGCGATGTAATGTTCATCACCGGCTGTTTCCTTATCTAGAATTTGATATTTTAAAGATTTGCTAGGAATAAAACAGCTTGTTTCTGAATTTCTGCAACTATACTGATGTATTTTCTTATCGATTAGGCTCTATAGAAGCTTTACCTGCAGTTTCACTTGGTTTTGCCTTTTTGGTTTCATGTATGCCATTGAATATGCTCTTATGAAATGTTCCATTTCTTTTGGCCACTTAGTGATCCTGTACAACTATTGAAAAAGCTCTGATTGAAAACCAAGTCAGTGGACGGAATGAAATTCACTCCAAAATAACTAAAATATACTTTAGCCTCAATTAATATATCATATCGAATATTATAAGCGGTGACAGTGATTCGACGAAGTTCTGCTTCGATGAAACAAATATGGGTTTGTTGCACTTCATCTCCTTGAACTATGGATCTAACTTTAAGTTGGTTCCTGGACTTCAAATATTTCAATTGAATATTCAAACTATAGGATCAATTTAATTAAGTCTTTCCTTCAGCTTATATATTAAATGCCGAATTGAATTTTGATGTATTTAAAAAATTATTTATTTGTACATGTTTAAAATATAAATTATTTAATTAAGCCTTGGTGCAATTAACCCAAATAGTATTATAGACTATTGTAGAACGACAAGCATTCATATTTAGTGCATTTACATGAATTTGACAATTTTTCTCAATTTAGTCCCTATTTTTTTTTATCCACATTAGGATACAAAATTAACTAACAAAATTACTGATGTGGCATTTTTTATATTTTTCTCAATGATGATGTGTTATTACCTTATGGTGACACGTCAGCATCATTGTTAAGTTTTTAACGGTAGGATACTAAATTAAAACCTAAACTAAATGTTAGGTATAGTTTTGAAAAAAAATAAAGCTTGGGTATCAAAACGGAACAAAAGTAATAGTTTAAGTACTAAACATGTAGTTTATCCAAAAAATAAACAGGGGCCAAATTAGAAAAAGTTACAAGATCAATGACTAAGAGTTGTTGTTTTATCCCTAATAAATAATAGGTATATACTTTTAAGATACCTATCTATGCCATAGGTGTAATGAGAATCCGAAGGAGGGCGTTACTTAGCAGTCACTACTTATTACGAAGGAGCGAATAAGGAGCGCCAAAACGTGGAAAAAACAAAGAGGAGTGACACTAGCAATTCCTCTGCTTGCTTTCAAGGCCATGGAAATAGCAGCCTCTGCTCGAACCGTTGAGGAAATCTTCAAAGATTACTCGGCTCGAAGAACCGCCATCCTTCGTGCTTTGATTTTTGGTAAATCTTTCGCATTCTTTCCTCTCTCCTGTTTGCCTGTTTAACGCTCTTTTCTCTCCCTTTCTCAGATGTGGATCGATTTTATGGACTCTGCGATCCAGGTAATTATTTACATATTTCCTCTAATTCAATCCCGTTTCAATTTTGCATGTTGATTTCTTCTGAATTTTTTATAGTTTTACTGTTAGATTTTTGTTATTATTGAATTTATAGATTCAAGTTCTTCAAATAAACTAGTAAATATGTGTATATAAAGAATTTCTGGAACATCAAATTGTAGTAGTAAAGTTGTTGTAATTATGAATTTCATCTTACGGTAACTGAGAAGTGAGAAGTTAGATATCTAGTTTACTTGTTAGAATTTGGTTTTTGTCTTTTACAAGAATAAAGAAGTTAGTCCAATTGAGTAACACTGTTAAACTTTTTCTTACTATTAAATTGTTGTTTCAACAGTTCAATAATTTATTTTCAAGAAATTAGCTAAAATGGCACTTTAAAATTTATATGCAACAGATTTACAAAAAATTAGTACTTTAAGTTCGTGTATTTATCAATAACTAGACTTGCTCTTAAGATTTTGTAAGGCACGAGATCAAATTTTGACATTTAAAGCAACCAATTTTTCGGTTTTTGTAAAATAGAGGAATGAAATTTATAACTAGAGCAAGGAGATTCAAGTTTTCTGTAAAGAATTTTTTCTTTCTTTCATCAAACTGGGGTTTATACGTTAAAACTTTCTTTTTGCCTTTGGTTTGGTTTAGAAAAAGAAAATTTATGCCTTTACGGACATCCGAATGAAAGCTGGGAAGTTATTCTGCCAGCGGAGGAAGTTCCACCCGAGCTGCCTGAGCCAGCCCTTGGTATCAATTTTGCTAGGGATGGAATGAATCGAAAAGACTGGTTGTCCCTGGTTGCAGTGCATAGTGATTCGTGGTTGATTTCTGTGGCTTTTTATCTTGCTGCTCATCTTAACCGTAATGAAAGGTATCGCTTTCGTCTCAGGAAGGATTGTGTCGAAAAAATGATATGCAGTTATAATGTCACTGAAATTCAAGTTGATTAATCAAGTTTTGAATTCTGGTAGAAATTTATAAACTTTGAGTATAATCAGGGAGGGCTTCCTGGTCTACTGATGGTTCAGTCTCTAACTATTTTTGCCCAGCTCATTACTTTTTTATCAATAACTATGCAATACACTTTCAATTATCATTATGACTTACTAATTTCGGTCTTTAGATTAGGCAAGACTGCTAAGCAATTACAGAAATACTATGTTGTGGTGCTTGGCAGATTACAGACTTGATATGCATGCATAAATGTCTTGCTATTTTTTTCCATATTCTTTGTGTTTATGGAATACAATTTATATTTGTTTATTATGCCTTGCCTTTTGCTTTACAGGAAAAACCTATTTAGCATGATTAACGATCTGCCCACAATCTTTGAGGAAGTAAGTGAAAGGAAGCCTGTTAAAGACAAATCAAGTATTGAAAATGGGAGCAAATCTCAGGGCACCCCAAAGGTTAATCACTTAAAAACCTTCTTATTATCATTGTTCGAGCCAGGAATTTGGGGTCTGATTAATGATTAATGCACAAATTTGGAATGATTGAGCTTTTCATAGCATGATAGCAAGCCTAATATTCCCTACAAGAAAGACGGAATTTTCTTTTTGATGCAGGGTGCTGATCATCTACTGTTCTGTGTCTAATCGGGTTCTTCTTTTTGTAGAGATCAAACGATGGACAAGTGAAAAGCAATCCCCAGACTGCTGATCTGGATTACCAGGACGACAAAGACGAGCACGGTGAAACGCTATGCGGCAGCTGTGGCGGAAACTACAACATGGATGAGTTTTGGATTGGGTGCGACGTTTGCGAAAGGTGGTTCCATGGAAAATGTGTTAAGATAACACCCGCTAAAGCCGAGAGTATTAAGCATTACAAATGCCCGTCTTGCAGGCAGTGATAGTGAGTGAAAATGGTAAGAACAGGACATGATCCTATCTCAATGGCTAACAAAGTAGGATGGCAAAATATTCCCGTGTTAGGTAATTAATGTAATGAAGTTCTGTATATATCAAGAAAATGTGTGTTGTAATAGATGCTTTGAACATGATGGAAGACTTCCTTGCTGATACCGTTGTTTACATTTTCAACTGATGTATTTGAATTTGTGGATAACATTTTCAGAGATATGGTGCCCTTTGGGTCAGAGATAACTGCAGTCAATACAGTATTTCTGAAGAGGTAGACAGTTCCCATTTTATATTTTTCAGTCGTTGTGTTATGGGTCCTACAATGGCCATTCAGGTGATATTACAAAACCCGAATCGTTTTAAAGAAATTGATTCTTTAATTTGAATTATCTTAGCTATTCCAATTAATTCAAATTTTTATTTTGAATTTTAAATTTTTAAAGTTGATCGTATTAATCTTTAACTAATAATTTAATTATTTTGTTATTTAGATCTTAATTTTCATGTTTCTTCAATTTCTCCTTTTTTGCTCCTCAACCATTATTGTATATCTACGTAACTTCGATTCATCATTTTTACTATGAAATTTCCCTTTTTAACAATTTAATCTCTCAATTTTATATTTCATTTAATTCGATTACTTAAGTGCAACTCTTCTCATACTCTTTCTTCTCACAAATTCTCCAACTCCTTTGTACTTCCATCAATATTTTATTCACAATATATTCTTTAAAAATAAAAATATATTTTATAATTTTATATCATAATTTATGGAATAACATTGTAAATCTGTTTTACACATGCAAAAAAGAATATGAAGAAAATATATGTATACAATACATGACAAACAATGCCCAATTTATATTTTCAGAGTAATCGATGTGTTTTGGGGCTACAATGGCCATTTTGGTGATCTATATAAGTGAACAAAATTCAATTAGATTAAAAAACTTACTCTTTTTTTTTATTATTTTGAGTTATTTGAATTGAATTATTCGAATATTGGTTCAAATTTCGAGTTTGAGATAAGTTTGGGTTTTTAAAATTCAAATAATCGAAAAATAAAAATATTATATGTTTGAATTTTACTTAACTTGATGATTTAATAGCGTCATCCTTTAATTTGATCCTCCTATGCTAAAATCACAAACATCATTAAAAAGTCTATTAGCTGACTGATTTGTGGACCAAGGAATAACATTGATAAATGATAATGGTAGGACCAAATTATGCCAAAAAAAGTAATAGGGACTCAATCTGCAAGATCTATGTCGTACATGGACGAAAAAACAATTTGACCTTATGTTCCTATATACCCTATTTGGATCCCAAAATGCAAGAGAAGACATACAAAGCACTACTCAATTCAATCCCATGTTCATGTAGTCAAATGCCAACCTGAAACAAGACATCAACATGTGTGTGTGTGTAGTGCCTTCCTAAGAAAATTAAAATTTGCAGAGCAAGTGAGAGATAAACCAGATTCAAAACCTCGATTTTATAGAGTGTCCTCTATCTCTCCCTCCCTCCCCCCACACAATCGCAAGAGAAAGCAAAGTCTAAGACATACACGGGAAAGAACTGGATCTACTACTTACTTTTTTTTCTTGCATGGATGAATTAAACCAACAGCTGGCATGACTCTACTCGTTCCCCAAGTTCAGAGAACCATCCTTCATCAGCTTTATGCTTAGACTGTTGAATCTCCCCCTCGAGTAATGTCGAGATGCCTTTCTCCAATCTGTACCGGTTTTCATCATGGCCGCAAATTCATCATAGCTGATGCGCCCATCCTGCATCTCCAAAATATTAATAGGAAGTTGAACTGGTACATGCTTATATGGATTTATTAGTGAGGAAATATCGGGTCACCTTGTCTGTGTCCACTTCTTGGAAGATGTCATTTGCAACATTTGTACAATCATCAGCTCCATCTTCCATTAATGCATCCCGAAGCTCATCGGGCTCAATGAAGCCATTGCCATCTTTATCTAAGTAAGAAAAGGCTTTTCGAAGATGCTCATCATTGGCCATTCTTTGCAGATGGAGAGAAACAGCAAGAAATTCCCCATAGTCCAATGTTCCTTTCCCATTAGCATCAACCTGTTGTCAATATGCACATTTTTAGAATTGATAACTGAAATAAAATGACTTATGCTATGAAGCCACTATCCGTGTTAAATGAGATGTCAGAACACAGTCATGGTTTTACAGCAACACTGAGGAAACATTTTCACAAGTACGAAAGCTGCTAAAGGTGGCAATAAAATTCAAATTTGAACAAAATTCTGGAAAAGAGATAAAAGGAAGGGAAGTTGCATAAAGTAAAATTTCTCAACTACCATAGAAATCCTTCATGAAAAAACTCGTATGCTTGAAGAGTAACAACTGAACACTCTACGGTCCGAAAGACTAGTCTATTCTTTCAAAATCTAAACCGGCTTCTTGCTTATCCACTTGGAAAGCATAGTCACATGATTACTAGGAAACCTCAGCCTCCCAATTATTATGTTTTTTGTATGCATGGGCATAAAATTGCAGGACGTGAGGACATTGGTGCCCAAAGGCCATTCACTCCAAATTGTTACGTAACTGGATATCCAGCTTCTTCAAAAAAAATGCTTCAGAGGGGGAATAATAAGAGAAAGCAATGCAGACGATAATATTAATACTAATAAACAAATTTGCATGAGATACAACGGGAGCTAACAAATTGGCAGCCTCCAATCTAACTCAAATGAGTTCCACTCATCACATGCCTTGGTCAACTAATAGTTGTTACGAAAAAATAACTACACTTTGCTGAGAAAAAGGAACTTTGACTGCTATTTCAAATAGGAACTAGTACAAACTCGTAAAAATATAGTATCACAATACTAATTTATGGCAGCGTGTAAACCAAAACATACTCACAGCTTCAATAAGCATCTGTACTTCTGACTCTGCAAGCTGTGAACCAAAATTTCTAAATCCAGCTTTCAGCTCTTCGATGGAAACAATGCCATCATTGTCAGTGTCCATTTTATTGAACATAACTTTGATATCTTCAACTTCTTCAACAGATAAGAACTCGGAAATAACCTGATTCAAATTACCGTTAAAATTTTCCTACCTATGAAAGAACAACAATAAATGATCAAGCAGAATTCTTAGTATTAGTGAACCAACCCGCAAGACTTTTCTTTTGAATCTGTTCATCATAGAAAATTGTTTAAGCCTCGACTTAACAACATCGCCAAGAGGCACATTGGGAACTTTTTTAGCGTTTTGCAGCCAAGGATGCTCTGTGAGAAGAGTAAACACAGAGATTAGGCAAACTATTGGTAATCATAAAGACATTTGATGTAGAGCAAAAGAGGAACATATATCTCGTATTTTAAAGTGATCATAGAAAGCTGATATTAACAAGGTTTTAAATGTTATAATTGAAGATGCAGAAAAGGCTCATTAGAAGATCAATACAATCATGAAAGGATGTGCCTAAACGCCTAGGCTCCTCCATCCACCTCCCTTCTCTGAAATATGCATAAGAGGAGCATCAAATAGGAAATGTTAGTACCAAGAACTTGCTTTGCAGTGAGCCGGAGCTTTAGGTCTGGTTCCAACATTTGTCGGACTAAACTCTTAGCACTCTCTGAAACATTTGGCCACGGGTCACGTTTGAAATCTATTAACCCACGAATAATTGCCTGTGCAACACCTTGTTCAGACTCTGCATAGAAAACACCCTTCAGGTAGGAATAACAATCCAACTCACTCTGATGCACATCCACCAGATATGCACACATCTGCATGGAGACAAGCAAAACTCAATAGAAATATACTTACCAGCCCAAAAAGGAGGAACTCCGCACAACAATATATAGAGAATGACTCCTGCACTCCATATATCAATTTCTGGCCCGTAATTCCGTTTGAGCACCTCAGGAGCCATATAATATGGACTTCCAACTATCTCAGAGAATCGTTCACCTGAAATTTACATATTGAAGCTTTAGAACGCATTATTAGAGAATAAAAACCACAACCAGCAACAATAAAAGGAAAAGTGGCCTAAGAACAAGTACAGAATCCTCATACAACTTAGCGTACTATCTGCTCTTTCATACCCCCACCAGTATCCCCACACCACATCCTACCAAAGCATGCAGCTTTTTGCAAACAAAACTGAGAAATTATTTACCAGACAGAAATACCCTTAAGCGGAAATAAATGGTTATAGCTGAAAATTTGGGGAAAAACATTTTTGAACAAGAAACCTTGGACTTGCTGTGCCTGTCATTCCAATTAACAAGCAATGGAAGCGTGTAAAGAAATAATAAAATCAAACTCAGCCACATCTTTGGCAATAGAACATGAAAATCTTCACAAAACCAAAGCAGACAGGTTTATAACATACTAAAGCATCCAACAATCAGAGTAATCATATGGTAGAAGAGAATGCTACATTGAGAGAATTTGGCAAGGTTAACCAATTCTTGCCCATGACAACCCACCATATGAAATGGGAAATTTTGTATCATTTGAACAAACATGACCGACCATAACCATTATGCTGACAACTCGATGGTCAATGGTGGATGGATCAGTATAAGAAAAGGATTAGAACTGATCAGTGCATTGTAGAGCCATTTTCAAACCTAACACTTATATTAACCACCAATGTCTAGTCTAATGCTTCTGTTTGAGGTAGGTAAAAGGTCCTACATATTATAGAATTAAACCAAGAAGAGGAAAGTATATATATTTTTAATGATAAATAAAAAAGATGTAAAGAAAGACGAAAGAATTTTCAATTCAGACACATAAAGGTAATGAATCAACGGCGAGTACATAACCAATAAAAACAAATATATGATAATTGCAACGGGGAGAAAGGTAGGCTTCCAACTTCCAGAATGAAAGGAAATAATCAAAATTGCTTTAACAAAGGCCAAACCACGCATTAGCCCCTTCTGTTTGTTTATTACAGGTAAAATAAGTGGCTGAGGACAGTGATTCAAAGGAATGACACATGAAGGCTTCCTTTAAAGCATGGGCAAATAAAATTATCGAAGTGCATGTTTCGTCACTACAAACACCATACGCAAATAAATGTAGGCAGAATATAGCAATAGCACGTAGGCATGTCCAATCCGAGAAACATAGATAATTTTTTATGTCTTTTTCTTTGTATTCAAATGTTTTGTGACGAAACTCAAAACCCAGGTTGGCAAAATGCTACATTTGTTACATGATTAAATA